GTGAAAAGCTGCCTGGCGGAAAAAGGGCTGGGGGTGTTGGTTGACAGCCAGCTGAATATGAGCCAGCAGTGGGCCAAGGTGGCCAGTAGCATCCTGGCTTGTATCAGAAATAGTGTGGCCAGCAGGACTAGGGAAGTGATTGTACCCCTGTACTCGGCACTGGTGAGGCCGTACCTCAAAGACACTGAGGTGCTGGAGCGTGTCCAGAGAAGGGCAACAAAGCTGGTGAAGGGTCTAGAGCACAAGTCTTATGAGGAGCAGCTGAGGGAACTGGGGTTGTTTAGCCTGGAGAAAAGGAGGCTGAGGGGAGACCTTCTCGCTCTCTGCAACTACCTGAAAGCAGGTTGTAGCCAGGGCAGTGTTGGTCTCTTCTCCCAAGTAACAAGCGATAGGATGAGAGGAAATGGCCTGAAGTTGTGCCAGGGCAGGTTTAGATTGGATATTAGGAAACATTTCTTCTTTGAAAGTGGTGTCAAGCACTGGAACAGGCTGCCCAGGGAAGTGGTTGAGTCACCATCCCTGGAAATATTTAAAAGACGTGTAGATGTGGCACTTAGGGACATGGTTCAGTAGTGGACTTGGCAGTGTTAGGTTAACAGGTGGACCTGATGATCTTAAGGGTCTTTTCCAACCTTAATGATTCTATGATTCTAGGTTTCTTTAACATGCCTTTTCTTTATTAAGACAGAACTTCCTGCATGTTGATCCTGCTTATAGTCAGGCAACAAAGTCCAGTGTTTTTTGACAAATATTTAGAAGCAAAAATACATACAGATTTCAAATGGGAACTCTGTGCAGAGCAGTGCACCTGAATAAGAAAACCATTTTCGGGAAGGAGGAATCACATAGAAGCCAACGATGCCTCCACTAGTCTAGCAAAGCTGAGGGATTTGTACATTCAACCGAGGAAACAAACCAAACTCTGCCATCCAATACCATACCCAGAAGGGCTATCTTTTCAACAGATTAATTTTATAGATGCTGCAATGAATGGAAATACTTGACCACTTATTAGAAGTGTTATCTATTAAGAAAATCCATCACAAAAAGTTACTGCATTCTCAAACACCGTGTCATCAACACCAGCATCTTTAGACATAAGAATATGAGCTCCCATCTGGCAGGTGCCATCTGGAGCCCTGGGAATCATATCCAATTCTCTCACCATGTTAATAAATCCCACAGCACTTTACAAGGAAGAAAAACACCGTTCCTGCTTGCATGGGGGTGGATCAATTGCAGGCTCATTCTCTGGGACAAAAGCTTCTATTTTGCTTGGCATGATTTTTTTTTTTTTTGTTTAAACCATCTATCATTTATTTGAAATGAGAGCCCAGAGTGCTTCAATAGGAGCCCCTGAAAGGGATTTTGGGAGATGGAACTTTTCCATTTGAACTTCCAAAGGATCTGATGTTACCCAAGCGGATGGCTGGGATTGTCCCAACAGGAAGGAGCAAGGTGAAGCTCAAAGCTTCTGCAGCTCTTTCCAGGTCCTGCTGAGATTAAGATACCACCAAACACTTTTACCTAAGCTGCTGCACACCCTCTCAAAGTGTTGTCTCCCAGCAACTAAAGGCTGGGAGAACAGCAAAACACTATCGGTAGGAAACTGCTGGTGAACAATATACATCCAAGACAGATAAACCCCACAACGGTCGGTCGGTATATTCGCTCTGCAAAACAAAGGACAACTCCTTGAGCTAGCAGACAGACAGCTTCATAAATCAACAGGGAAAATGTGGCTGTGTTTGACCCCACGACGTTTTGGACCAGGAACCATACAGTCATATTCCCAAGGTATTGCCCTTCAATTTGTAAGGTGCAGTAAGTCTGTGCAATAAGACTTTTCATTTGGGGGAGGTACCTCAGAAATTTGGAGGCATCTAGTTTGGCTGCTAGTCCAAATTGAGAGGTCTCTGTCAGCAGAGTAGACGTGTCTTAACATAAGCAGCTAAATTAAAAAAAGTTGAATAAAAAGGTGGTATTTTGAGAAGAAATTCCAAACAGAAAGAGGACACCAGAAAATACCAAAGGTAAGAAAAATGCTGAGAATGTTGGAGAAAGCTCTTCGAACAGGGAAAAGGGAGGATCTTTTACAGTCAAGAGTCTAATTCAGGTGAGTAAATAAGATAAATAATTTGCAGATAAAAGAAAAACGTACTTCTAGTTACATTTGAAATCACGGCAACATATGTTGAGTCCTAACTGTATTAAAATCTATTGTTAAGAACCTGTCAAGCAGTTTTTAAAGAGAACTGGACCATAAATACAGAAGAATTACCATGAAGCACATAGAATCCATTTGTGCTGAACTGATAAAATTCACTTGCAATGCTGATAGCTTTTTTTGCAGGTACTATTGCTTTCATTCCATTTAACAGCAATTGGTCTTTAATTAATTTGCAATTAATTCAATAGTAATGAACAAGTTAGGAGTTTTTAAAAAAGCAAAACGTATTATTCTTTCCTGGCAAAGAACTAAGAACCAGGCTGTGAGAGGATGATGCCATAACTGATTGTATTTTGAATCTTGCATAATCAAGCACTACCTGGTTACGTTTAAATTGAGAGTATTTTCTTCAGCCAGAGTGAGTAGTAGTATTGGAGCAGGCACAACTGTTGGGGTTTTTTTATTTGGTTGGTTTTTTGTGGGGTTTTTTTGTGTTGTTTTTTGGAGTTCTGTGGTTTTTGGTTTTTTTTTTTTTTTCAGGACAGCAGCATCAACACAAAGTGATCATGAAAGGACAGCCTGAAATCTATGTTTTGGTATAAGAAAGGACAATGACCAGAAACCTCCGCACAACTCGCTAACTACAGAAGATATCTCATTTATTTAATCAGTTAATTTTAAATTAATAACATTTGTTAACTTTTTGCATATATATGCAGCACATTCAGCATAATTTTACATAACTTGTAATTTTAAAGTGTTGCATTTCATTACTATCAAAATGCAGTTTTGACACAAAATGAGGAGTAAAAAAAAAAGGAAACAAATACCAGTCAGCATTTCTATCATTGTAATGTAAAAAATCAGAAATCTAAATAATTGTCTAACAAGCTGTAAAGCTGTTTAAATGTGAATACAGTGCGCTTCTACGGATAGTCGGAAAGAAGAACCAAATAAAACGTAAAAGTTGTATCTAGTTGCAAATCTCTACTTTAAGGGTTACAAATAGAGAAGAATCAACCTTTCAACAAAAATCTGTCTACCACTTACAATAACCAATAATTTAAATCAATGGTTTAACCTGTATCACTTCAAATAAGCAACTTCATATAACCTTGGTATTAACACTTGAAACAAACTATAGAAACTGCAAAGTCTCAGACCACAAAACACAAACTGTAGAATAACAGTTTTAAGAGCCTTTAAAAAGCACTCCGTACTGAAGAAGCAGGTAGGAGAACGCATGCTGCTTTGGAATTCTTGTTTAGCCTGTGTATTTGTCAAGCTATTGGGTAAAAAAGCACAAGGATTTCAGAATCCTATAGGTGTATAAATATACTTATCACAGGCCCCAAAGAAATAAGCCATGAACTCTGTAGAAGACTTACATATCTGACAAATTCAGGGTAATTTGTCTAAGAACAGGCAAGAGAAGTTAGCTAAGCTCTGAATTTATCATTAACTGGTGCAAGCGAATCTGCACACTAACAAGGGTATCAGATTTTTCCTAGAGCCACAAATAGATGGCAACTGAATTCTGCCCAAATCCAGTAATAAAAAAACCTGACAAGACGAAGCACACAAAAAGGTAATTTAGCACCAATTTAGCCACCCCAGTGTTTAACTGTAATTATGTGTTTTACAATGACAAGTTCTGATTCACAATGTAAATGGCTTTTGAAACTATGTCAGGACAAATAGTTATAGTAATGATTTATGAAACAGTATCAAGAGAACATCAAGCACAGGCTAAATTCCTTGGTTCGCTCCTCAGCACACCATATGAGTTTCCAGGAATATCCATCTTTTTTTTTTTTTTAACCTTCTAAGAAAACATAGCTGGGCGCTCTTAACTGTCCCATCTAGGACTCTGACAGTAGCGTATTACAGGATTATTTTTTTTAGTCAAAACTCTAAATTAAGGGGAATTCTGAGACAAACTTGGCCATTGACATATGGAGAGGCACAGCTCAAGGTAAACTATACCACAGTAGTAAAACCACAAATAAAAGGAGGTGTGTAGATGAAAGCAAGTGAAAAGAGGAATGGCAGCTGAAGAAAGAATGGGAAAAGGTAACTTTCCTCCTCCTGAGGCGAGTTCCCCACCCCTTACTTCTGCCCTTCTGAAGGCATTCTCCAAGCAGCTGATTACAGGACTAATTTTAAAATTCAATCTGAAATAGAAATAAAGGCTTTTGTTTAAAGTACACGACTTAAGTATCTTCATTAAAATACTCCTTCAGAGGCAGAGCTATGTAAGTATTCTTCAGGTGATGGCCTCGAGAATAATTCCATCCGAACCACCGTTAGTTACACTATACCCACGTATTAATACCTGAAATTAAAACAAAGGCTGATACTGTCAACACAGGTCAAATATTTCCTAGTATACCTGCAGAGGCCACTTGGCCTTGTGACCAGCAGCCATACCTTGGCAATATGGTATCTGTGACTTAACCCAAAGCACCTTCACTTCACAGGCCCTACCTGACTGAAAAAAAAACTATGCCTCAGGCATTGTGCACTGAAAAAAATACAAAGGATCAAGCCTGGTATTTGTCTGGTATTGTGAGTACAGAGTAGCAATGGGGTAACAGTAATTAATCAATCTACCCCCAAAAAACAACTGACAATTAAATATATTACGAATTGAGAATTTAACATATCAAAAGTTCAGAAATATCATACCGCTTCAAAAGAGTCACAGCCTATCAGTATAAAGGAAGAATATAAAACTATTTTATTGACCACTGTTCACCAGTATTTACAATAAAGTAAACAATATACAGTCTGATAACATTCAAATTACTACAAAGTTAGTTTTCACCTGGTCTTCTTGAGACCAAGTGATCCCAAATACTAAAAAGAATGATTCTACAGGTTTAGAGGGCTAGGTTTGGGTAAAGAAAATACATGCACATCAATAGTATAGAAGACTACAAAACATCTGAGTTGGTTTAGACATTCATTATGACTCTGTAATAACTATGGAAGTTTATGAATGTTTTATAAAAGCTTTTACCTAATATGGAGGAAGTAGTAGTATCAAATGCTCTGTTGTGATAAATGAAATAAGTTGCAGAAAGCTTTTATTTACTTGCTGTTGATGCAAAACATACTACTTCAAAAAAATATCAAATTTGATTCTTGTTAGAATGTATGCTTCTCACATTGCTAATAAATCAAATTTCAGGTTTTAATATTCATATATATAAAAAAGCAATGCAAACAATTATTGTGCTTCATCTTCTGGGCATGAATGCCAAGTTAGTCGCTCTTCATAAAAAGCGATTACGATCTGAGGACACTTCACGTTAGCTTCTTTGGCCAGGACCAGATCTGCCTCATCAGAGTCTTTCCTGATGTAGAAGAAAGTAGGATTTAAGAAAATGCATAATCATTAATTCAGTAAATTTAGCAGCTCTTGATAAGTCATAAACTCTGAATAGAATGTCAGCTAGAAATCAGTTTTCAGTATTCCTTTCACTACAGCTACCATGAATTTCCATGCTAATGGCAAGGTTTCACAGCTGCATCCTCCCTCCCTTCCCATATTTTTTTCTGTTTGAAAGGAAAATGCTATTCAAAAGGAACCATTTATACAGTTACCTATTGCATCATGTAATGAAAGAAGTAAAACTTTGCTAATTCTTTTAAAGCATCATCAAAACTTCAGTGAGACTTTAAATATCAATACCATCAGTCTTAAGAGGTGGTACTTAGATCCAAATTATATTTACTGTTTATGCAAGTAACTTGCTGTATTTCATACTGCTATTCTTGATGCTGTCTTGGGTAAGAAAACAAACTTTGCAGTCTGACATACTTCAGATTCCATTTTAAAGTGTACACTGCTTTTACAAGTCAGTTTTGTGCACACACATTCCTATCTATGTATGTTGCCTACAATTAATTATGAAAAACTAATCAACTGCAACTGAACTAAACAAAAAAGCTTATTTTCCTATGTTTCATTTGTGTTTGATTTTGCCAATTATCACTACGGTAATTCAAATAGTCATGATCAATATTTTGCAGCTCTTCTAAGTTTCACAGAAAATTTATAGCGAATTCGAAAAGGCAGAAGGGAGAGAGAATCTTCCAAAGCACTAATCTTCAGCAGTCCGGCCACATCACATGACAATTTCTCCAGAGACCACTCAGACTGACTCCACTCAGAAAGTTATGCCCTTCTCAAAGGCTGTGGAAAGCTATCATTCTTCTCATCCCACCACCCTGAGAAATCTGACCCCCAGCAAACGTTAATTCAATCTCTTTTATTCTCAACACTGGAAAAAAAATACTAATTTTATCCTACTTGTTCACAAGGCAAGAAGTCCTTCTGTCAACACTGTAGCTAATGAGGCTGGTCTCCACCTACCGTCCCAACAACACAAACTCCCCCCATGATTTTCCCCTCTTACTAGCCCGTAATGATAAACCTCTCCTTCATATTGTTTACTCTTCATCTCAACCTCAGCTTTCTCCAGAAAATGCTTCCAATTCCACTTGGTTGCACGCAGAACGGCTGGCACACCGGTTGGTTAAATGGTTGGCTATCCAGCAGCTGGCTTCTGCTTATCGAAACATGTAGAGCTGGATTTCTGCTTGCCATTCCCTCAGCAAGAACACTACTGAGATCCACCTTTTCCACACAAATGCCAATTTTCCCATATCTTATCAGAATTTACCTTTCAAATTTCTACTTCTGTAAAACTGAACCAACAGGAGCTAAAGTTATTTTGGGGTTTGAAGGAAGGATTAAGTAGTAACTGATTACAGAAGCCTTGTTTTTATAAGAATACAAGGTTAATAAGCAGACTACCAGCTTCTTTGTCTTACTGCTGAAATGAAGTTGTCTCATATGAGCCTAAGCACAACTGCCTGCCCTCCCTTAACATGGACAAGAATGGTGGATGTAAGACTTACCATTTCATGAGGAACATAAGCTCTCCACTGCTATCTGTAGCCCCAATTATCCGCTCAGGATCAAGACCCCTTGCAAACCCTCTTGGTTTATCAACCTATTGAGTAAGTTAGAAGATTGTTATCTAGTTTAAGATAAAATTTTGTTTTGGCATTAGAGTTAGATATATGCATTCTTGTGTGTGTATATATATGTGTATATCAGAACAAAAAATATAGCCTTACATAATTGTAAAAGCTATAATTACATGCAATTGTCTGAAGATGACAATTTTATTTTTTCATGACTGATTGTCAGGGCAAGTCATTTACATGTAAAGTAACAATGAAGGAATTTTACATCAATGTTTCTAGCATGTATTTCTGAAAGCTCAATAGATGAAACAAGTGATCTAAAAATCCTTGTAGATAAAAAAACAAGCATGGCCAGTAAAAGCAACAAGAGAGGCAAAGCACCAATGCACTCCTGGAAGTGGGAAAAACATATCCTTTTCAGCAAAACAACAGAGTTTGGTTGGCTTAAGCCAACAGTGAAACCGAATCCTTAGGGAACACCTCAACTCTTTTTGGTTCACTGAGATCGCACTGGTAGTAAGGAAAATCACCACTATTTCTGTATCAATTCCTCTAGGTTCACAATATCCTTTTTGAGACAGTGGCATCTGTACCAGATGAAGACATACAATCAACTTAATACAGAAACTAAAATATAATCTTTCTGATGCCTTCCAAATTTTTTGACAGTAACCACACATCCAACAGCTGTCTTCAGTAAACCACTGACATTGCCAACCAGTTTAATTTCAAATTGCTAGTTTGAAAGTTTACAGAGAAAAGTGTGAACTATCGAGCACATTATTATATGTGCATTATTTTGTACTCATCAGCACTACATTTGTCATGTTGTTCTTTATTTAAATTGTAGGAGAAACCCATACCTTTAAGAAAAGGCAGGCTTTCTTCAGTCACCCTTTCTACTCCCTCTCCACTATCATGCCCGGTTTTCACATTTTGCCACCTTGCCGCTCACCTATTTAAAATCATATACTAAATACAAAAGCCAAAACAGAACTTCATCTTCGTTCCTTTCATGAACCTTTTCCTTTAATACAAACTGACCACTTAATACCATTCATAAATAACTCTTAAACAGTCTTACTTTCAATTATTCAGTAAGCATCACGGAACAATGCTAGAACTTCCAGTCATCATGTCAATCAATCATCTTTTACTCACCATTTGGATAGTCTCATTAACAACCATCAATGATTACCCTTTTCAAACCACAGCTCCAGATGCTGTGCAGTTTTTACACTTTTAAACCCATGTTTGGTCTCATTCTCAAAGTCACAACAGGATTTTGGCGGGGGTGGGGCTGGAGAGGTAGGGAAGAGACACAGGAAAAACAAAGCTTAGCACACTAACATATACTTACAGAATCACGCTTTTTCTTTGATTTACTATCATCAGATTCACTATCTGACAAAGATTTTCTTTTGGCACCATCTGTTTTTTCTTTGCCAGCTTTCTGAGAGTTCAGAAAAGCTTCGATTAGCTCTGGACAATCTAAGTTTTCTTCAGGTTCCCATGTGTTGTCAGCGCTGAAACATATAAACATTTATGTAAAACTAGGAAAAGAAGAAAAACATAAAACTAGCCACATGGCTCACCTTAAGCAAGTTAATTTTTTTCACATTACGTAAGGCAGGTTTCTTAAACCTAAGGATGCTTATGTTGCTAGTTTTAGTAACCTTCATGTACTGCATTTGATGACTGAAGGAAGTATGCTCTGCTATTGTTGAAAAGCAAAGTTCTTAAACTGGAAATACAGAATAAGCAGCTCTATTAACTCCTACAATCCGGGTGGGATCACAGGAGTTAAAACAAGCAATCCCCACCCTACCAAAACCTACCCATCCATTTAAACTAACTCCCTTCCCTGGTTCCTCTAAGAACTGTCCACGCAAACAAATCATATGATATGAGCACTAAGACTTACAGAGAACAGAATACACACAACGCTCACTATAAACAGCGTAAGTACGTATGCCTAAGCTTCTGTATATGAGGAATGTTCTCAAAAGTTCACTGAGATCAACTATAGCTAGAACTATCTCCCTCCCTCAGGTGACTAGAGGAGGGAACAAAGGTTCCATGACCAGAGCTGGGCACTGCAAATGTTCCAGTGAGTGTGCATTTTGTTAACTGAAAGTCTAAGAAGTCCATGGATGTTGCCTACAAAAACTAAGCACCTCATGAAAAGTCCTCATGCGCAAATACCGCTGCAGCGCTACTGCACAAGCAGGATGCCTACAAATTATTTTCACTTACTAACACATATTTTTACAACTTCAAATCAGAACCCTGAATACTAAACATATTGTTTTGGGTTTATGCACTTATCACTACGCAAATTTCAGGTGCTAGAATGCAGAATGTTGCAATGCAATCACTTTGGGAGGTATGCAACAATAATATCACTGCATATGTAACTACTTATGTTCAAATGCTAGATGCATCACCTTTTTTCAGCCAGTGGTCTGCCAGAAAGCGGCATGGAAAGGAGGGAGGAGGCACCCGTTAACAATCAACTTTTTAAGTACACTGTAAGTTTTTTTCGTGCTTCCCTAAGTCCTGGGAAAGAGACTCAAAAGATACCTTTCAGGTATGCCTAATGAAGGCAATCATGCCACAGAATTCCTTATGTAAATTCATCTAATTTGAGAGTAGTTCAGAAAAGTGAATAAGCATCAAACTATCTGCTTCAAATTCATTGCTTCAAAGCTGCCTACAGTTTAAATCCCTGCAATTTTTTTTTACTCAGAAGTAACATTCATTCCAACACATACACAACAACTGTCAGTCTAGCTCATCTTGAGAGATACTGATACTAAAGCTATATCAAAGAACAGTGGCAAGGACTTGGTAAAAGTCTTGGAACTTTTTATGTAAGTTCTGTATCTAAGCTACATGTCTTCTATCCTCATACTTGACTGCCCCACTTGAATATGCATTTATGGATGTCCTTTCCTTGAGGTTCTTTAAAATGTATCCCCATCATCCAACCCCCTCTCTGCACACTTATTTCAAAGAAATGGTTAGTATTTAGCATTCTATCAGAAAAAAAATAAAAGGTAATGCCTTACTCTGTAAATCCTTTCCACTTCAAGTAGTATTCCACCTTTCCATTTACAACACGTCTGTCCAGGACTTTCTCCACAACAAATTCTTCAGGCTCTGCCTCTTCAACTTTTTTACCTTTGCCATTCTGTTTCTTTCCCATTTTGTGCTACAAAAGAAATTCAGAATGACATTATTCATTCTTTTGCTTTACAGAGTTATTTCACTGGCCAAATCCAACTTTGCTCAGTAAACAGCAAAGAATTATGTACTTATTCACACTAAAGCCAGAAGCTCAGACTCCTTTTATGTTAGGGCATGTGGTCAGGTAACCTGAGCAAGACATGTTAACGTTTTGGGTTTTTTTCAGTTGCTTAATGAGATACCCAACACCAGTTTTTAAAAATGTGAAATATTTTTGTCCATACACTCAGTGCCTCCACTCCCCTTATAAATTTAATTCGCAGTGCTACATGCTCAAAAACTTATGAAGCTTCTAGAAGTTAACTCTATGCCTGTGAAAAGGCAGAGGACAAGAAACAGCATAAGGCAGAAGTAAAGTACTAAGGGAACTGTGAAAATGCATAAAATTGGAAAGGAATGCTACTCAAAAAAGGTGGTTACTACCTTCTCAAAAAAAAAAAAAAAGGAGAAGCTGATGGGAGCAAAGTTTACGATATATTGCTACAGTAAGCAAAATACTCAACAATAACTCGTAACTATTGAACAGGATGCATGCTAGGAGCATTCCATTACTGCAGTCCCTTCTCATTCTTAGCCACGCACCAATGTAACTTACATTCAAACAGATGTCACAAAGGTGCAAAAATTTAAGACAGCTACTTAAGTACAGCAGTTAACAAGTAAATGAAATTTTGCTAGCTTAAAAAACTTTATAAGTGTTTTAAGTTTACATTTGATACTTCAAATAATATTCTTTAAGTTCTTAAAATAAATATTACATCCACATCATCCTCAAGGCATTCCCAGTTTAATAAGGCACAATTAAATAGTAATAGAAGGACACATTTCAGAATTTCCATGTTTGTAATCTTAAAAAGGTTGGAACAAGCCTATCATATTGTCATATCACATTCCTGGAGCACTAGCAGACCAAAAGCTGTTTGCTTGCCGTTTTGGACTGCACTTTATAAGGAAATTATTAAAGTGGCAGCCATAAACTAATGGGAGCAGTATTAAGCTCCTAAAACATATAGTCATGCAGTACCCTAAATCAAAGTGGACAGAACTAATTCCTCACTAATGCACTTCCTATAGAACAGAAAACAGACAAGCAAAAATCACAGAGCACCTCTATTTGCTTGAAGGCCTCTCTCTAGAATTAATGTGGGCTAGTTTGAGAATACTGCGAAGCAATTTTGAAACTGACAAATTTTCAGACTTTGTAGAACTTTGTCTTGATGTGGTGAAAGGTAAAAAATTATGTCTGTTAGACACAAGAAAGCTGTAGTCTCTTTGTAAACTGAAGATTTGAAGCCGATTCTTTCTTTCCAAAAGCTCTTTGTGGCCCTTATTTTTGATAATTAATTCTTCCCTCCCTCCCCAAAATAGCTTTACTCTGGTTAGCAACCCATAAATTGAACAACAAAGATCAGGAAAAGTTTAAAGTTTCTCTTTCAAACAGCAAGTTTCTGTACATGATTATATCTCATGTGACATTTGGTTTGATTTGGAAGCATAGAAGAGAGATTATCTAAAACAGAGCACATATTTCCAATTGGATTTTAACTGCCTGCATATCCCAGGTGTATTGTGACCACAGCATTCATGTCTGAAAAGTGTCAACTTAAGCACACTGGCTTTTTTTGCCTCCACAGGAAAAAGAAGGTAAGACTGAAATTGAAGGAAAATAAAAACATGTCCAACTCTGCTATGAAGGCAGCTTCTTTCAAGAAATGGAAGTGTGAAACAGAGGAACAGGTAGAGATGAGGAAAACAAATAATAAAAAAAGAAGCTGAGGGAAAAAGCAAAAAAAAAAAAAGACACAGACTCACCATACCATAATAATAACATTATAATTACTGGTGATAAGGCAAGCAGACTACAAGTGGGGAACATCTCCATCTGTGTTCTCTGTTGGACTAAAATTCTTTGATTCAATGGAAGATTGCTTTCTGGTACTCTTTTTGGCTTCTCTATTTCTTGTCATTTAAATACAAATGTTTTGGATTTCTGTATCAAAGCAACAATTTTTTTTTTTACTTTTTAAGACTTAAGTATCTATACTATCTTCCACAGAAGAAAATGAATGTCATGGGGGGCTGTATTTTTTTCTTGAAGCACAGTAAGAAATAACAAAATGTTTTTAATATTTGAGATTTAATTCCAAACTCTTGAGCCTTTCCCACCTATTAAAATAACACTCGATTGCAGAAATACTGAACATTCATTAAAAATCTGTACACTCTGAGATTACAGAAGCCAATGTAAATCTCAGCCCACAAGTGAACGTGGTACCTGATGGAAGTTAAAGGGTACTCAATGTCCACTAGATCCCTGAAGACTCCTTTCTCTAGGGTTGCATGTTGTAAGCTGTAACTTGGGTGTTTGACCACTGAATGCTCATCTATGGCTCCTTTCCCTTTCTGCATTCAGAAGTCACATATGACAGATGCAGATGCTCTCCAGTGGATAATCACTCTTTCTTTGAGGGGCAAGATTAAAACACTGATGTGACACTGTGGTGAAGGGTTTTAACATACAAGAGGTAACAAAATCAGAATTACAGTTCCAGAGCTACGCTATCCCTTAATACATTTAGATTTTGCATGCAAATACATAATGAAGCAGAATTAGTTATGGTTCCCATGGGAACCATAACTGATTTTCCTGACCTGTGCAGCAAAATTCTCAACAACATCAAAAGATTAAAAAAAAAAATACTGCATTCACAGATTCTTTCCTTACCCTGAGGCACCCCCTCCCCAGGCTGGCTAACTCCATCTCTTCCTCAAATTAGGGAAAAGTGGGCAATCAATTACTAACAGAAAGTTCAGACATTCACCTTGGTGAAATCTTTTAAGAGTTATCGTACAATATAAAGGAAGCAGTCCATTGCACTTCTAAGCCAGGAGTTAATACAAGTTTTTAATATATCTCAATCTGGGTCAAGCAGTAACCATTTCAGTAAATTTAAGAACAGGCCTTTTGAGTGCATTATAAATCAGTTGTTCTGCTATCCAAATTTTGAATTGTACACGTGTATTTTTGCTTACTTCCCTGCCTCAACATCAGATGCATCTCATGCTATGTATCACGTACAAAACTATGTATCATTATTAGTTGAACGGTAACCAGCAACCAACTGCCCTTAGAAGTCCATATTTTAATGACAAGCAAAGCTTTACAGGAGTTGAGATCCATGAATGCATCATTAAAACAGTCCAGGAGGGGTTGATAATCTCTGCTCCTATGAAATTCAAGAAACTGTTATTTGTTAAAAATCATTTCAAAAGGCATCTTAGCTACGCCACATCATTTCCCAATAATGTTATTTTTCATCCATAAAGACTGCTTTTTCTCAGGCAATTAGTTTTCCCCAAATACACTGGGAGAAATTAAATGAATACATGATTTGGATTTTATTTTTTACATATATGATGAATTACATGGTATGCTGAAAGGAGGCTAAAAAAATCCTTAGTGTTTTCTACTATAGGACAAATGAAATAGTTCAGAGTCCATTTATTTTTTTTTTTCCAAGAAGTCTCTTTAGAAATGGCATATTTATTAAAGCCAAAGACAATGTCCTTTCTAGTAGCCTTACTTTCTGGATCTGAAATTTTGGTCAGAATAATGCTGGGGAGGGGAGATGTGGATGTATCTTTTAAATGGAGATGCCAAGTTATAAGTTTGAAGAAAAAAATGTTGATTAAATCCTTATATACTTTAGGTGTGCATGAACTTACCAATGTAGTTTTATTGGAGGCCATTTTTATTGCAGACTTGCAGAGCTTTTACTAGAAAAATGCATGACAATTAAAAGGAGGTTTACATTACTCAAAGAAAGGCATCCCAATACAAGCATGGTCCTTGTTCCAACCCCCATGTATTCACTGCATATAACATTTCTAATATGGATTAAATCCAGAACAAAAAGTAGGTTACTACTTTGTCCGGCATAACCCAGTAACGCACCATTATACTAGCCAGGATAAACGTAGTATATAGGGTTGAAAAAAGGTTTTTCCCAAGGCCTTCTAAGGCATAGAGATGTTTCTAGGGAAAAGGGGGAGGACCATCAGGGATGCTTATTTCCTTAAACCCAATAGAACAGGAGTTCAGATTCTAGCAGTTAATCGAGATATACCTAGGTATATTAACTGCAAATCTGGTAGGGAGCAGTTACATATCTGCGGTGTCATGAGTCACCCATTACTCCTACATTGTAGTAAATGCTTATAAACAGCAAATATGTATCTTAATGCAACTATAACGTTGCCTTCCGATTCTCAAGTTCACAAGAGTTAAGGTCCTAGAGCAATATTAACTAAGCTAAGCTATACGTGCTACATATTTAACCTACGCAAATGATGTTGAACACAATCCATCCCCTTTTCAGTGTCATTTTTCACACTGGCCACCTCCTTAGGCATGTATTGTCCCCGCCCCACTGCAAACTATAGAACTGTTAGAATTCCCCATATGCCTGGGCAAGGCAAAAGAGAAAGTCCTTCAAGGCCAGAAAACCTCCCGGACTCAGCAATCCCGCCCAATTCTCCCCTGACACGGGAGGTGGATTTTGGCAAGTCCCATAGGCAGTGGGGTAGGTGCGGTGGGAGAAGGGCAGGGGCTAGTGCCCCGGCGGGAGAGGAGCTTGTCTTGTCCCCGTTTGAAAGGTAGGAAGAAGGGGAAAAAGAAGCAACAATAACAATAATAAAAACCCCGTGCCACCCGCAGCAGAAAATAAAGGCAGCCCTGCGGAGGCCTGCTGGCGGAGGCTGCGCCTCGGGCCTGTGGTGGGCGCACGTGAGGCCGGCGGGGCCGACCC